TAATTCCCCCCCCCCCCCCCCATATGGTAAAAGTTTCATGTTTTTTTAACTCTTTTTATTTGTTGTCCATGGCAACGTTTCTCTATCCACATCTTCTTCTCCTGTGATGGAGACAGTTTCCTTTCTTCACTAAACACTCTCGTTGATATCCCCTTCGATTCTTGCGGTGTGAGGGCTGTCTGCTCGTCGTTGTTGGGCGCTCTATCATCTGTTTCCCCTTTTTCGTCCATGAAATCCCAAGCGTCGCGTCCAGCAAAACCTCACAATTGTTTTTTGCTTTCCTTTTTCTAAGCTTATTTTATCAGATCCTTCAAGGGACAGAGCCTTATTACCTATCCAAACCCACTTTCTTTCTCCCGTTGTGGTTGAACGATGGCCTCCAAGTCGCCCAGAAGCGGGCTGGGGGTGGAAACCCACACGCGCAAAGGCCGTTCTCCCTCCCGATCCCCCAATTCGAAGACCAGGAAGAAGGCAGCGGCATCGAAGAATTCCCACTACGGCTCTGAAGGAGTTACAGATCATGATGTGCTTCAACTACCGGTCTCCGATTACAAAATTATGCTCCGGTTGACAGCGCTGGCCTTCGTGGTACGACTATTCAGGATCTACCAGCCAACAAGTGTTGTGTTTGATGAAGTGCAGTTCGTGATTCCCGATTCCCGATTCCCGATTCCCTATTCCCTATTCCCCTCCCCTTATCGACTATGTGGAATAATATCTCCTGGATGCTAACTACTGTGTCTATGTTACCAATAGCTTCGGTGGGTTTGCGACGAAATATATCAAGGGGAAATTCTTCATGGACGTGCACCCACCGCTGGCTAAAATGCTTATCGCCCTTGTCGGATACTTGGCCGGATTTCGTGGTGACTTCGACTTTAAAGACATTGGGAAAGATTACTTGGAACCAGGCGTTCCGTACGTGGCTATGCGCATGTTTCCCGCCTTAATGGGTGTAATGGCTGTTCCGACGATGTTCCTTACTCTGAAAGCATATGGCTGTCGAACTTCTACAGCTTCAATGGGTGCATTGCTTATTACATTCGGTAAGAGTTTGTATCTGTATGCGATGAAACGAAACGCAGAATTCTGACGAGTGTGTCCCAATAACAGAAAACGCACTGACGACCCAGTCCCGGTTTATCCTTCTCGATTCACCTCTGATCATTTTTACCGCCCTTACCTCACTCGCCTTTACAAACTTTACAAACCAGCATGAGCAAGGGCCTTCAAAGGCATTCGAAGCTTCGTGGTGGTTTTGGCTCATTCTTACAGGTATCTTCTTGGGCGCCACTGTTAGTGTTAAGTGGGTGGGTCTTTTTACCATCGCCTGGGTGGGAAGCTTGACAATCCTTCAGCTCTGGGTTCTGCTTGGAGATACCAGAACAGTCACCGCCGTAAGTCAAACATGTTTCTGGAAGTCAAAACCTGGATTCCTTGTTTCCTAACAGTGACCCAAAACTAGGGTATCTGGTTTAAACACTTTTTTGCGAGAGTACTCTGTCTCATCGTTCTCCCAGTTGCGTTCTATATGGCCATGTTTCAGATTCACTTCATATGCTTGGTCAACCCTGGTGATGGAGATGGTTTTATGTCTTCCGAATTCCAGTCGACCCTCAACTCCAAAGCAATGGAGGATGTACCAGCTGATGTAGCCTTTGGCTCAAAAGTCTCTATCCGCCATTACAATACTCAGGGCGGGTATTTGCATTCACATTCTTCTATGTATCCTGCGGGCAGCAAGCAACAACAAGTCACTCTGTACCCCCACAAGGATGACAATAACCTCTGGCTCATTGAGAACAACACCCAGCCGTTGGGCGACTACGGGTTAATTCAGGGACCAACCGCCTGGGATAACATAACCGCTAGCAACATTATAGACGGATCAGTTATCAGGATTTACCACCTCGCTACGCACCGAAGACTTCATTCCCATGACGTTCGCCCTCCCGTGACAGAAGCTGATTGGCAGAACGAGGTATCTGCATATGGTTACGAAGGGTTTCCTGGTGATGCAAATGACCTTTTCCGCGTTGAGATTGTCAAATCGATGTCCGAAGGCGACGAAGCGAAGAAACGTCTCCGCACAATCCAGACAAAGTTCAAGCTCATCCACCATATGACCGGATGCGTACTGTTTTCACACAAGGTGAAGCTTCCACAATGGGGATTCGAGCAGCAAGAAGTCACATGCGCCAAAGGCGGGACTCTCCCCAATAGCGTTTGGTACATCGAGGAAAATCACCATCCAATGCTCGGACCAGACGCCGAGAAAGTCAACTACAAGAGGCCTGGGTTCTTGAGCAAGTTCTGGGAATTGCAGAAGGTTATGTGGAGGACGAACGCTGGCCTCGTCGAGCCCCACGCGTGGGATTCCAGACCTTCCTCCTGGCCGACACTTTTACGAGGTATCAATTTCTGGGGCATAGACCACCGCCAGGTTTATCTAATTGGTAACCCTCTTATTTGGTGGTCTTCAACCCTTGCAATACTGTTCTACGTCATCTTCAAGGGTCTTGCTACTCTGCGCTGGCAACGAAGTTACGACGATTATAAGAATGTGAACTTCAAACGCTTCGATTATGAGCTTGGACAAACCGTCCTTGGATGGGCTTTCCACTACTTCCCATTCTACCTCATGGCACGCCAGCTGTTCCTCCACCATTATTTACCAGCGCTCTACTTTGCCATCCTTGCGTTCTGCCAGATTGTCGATTACGGGGTAAACAGGGTCAGCTTGACAGGGTTCAGAAGCAAACCTATCCTCGGGAAGATATTCATGTTTCTCTTTGTTACGCTATCGATTGTTGTCTTCTCCCTTTTCTCGCCATTAATCTACGGCAACCCTTGGACCAAGAATGCGTGCGGTAGAGTCAAGCTTCTCGACACGTGGGATTTCGATTGCAACCTTTTCCACGATAAGGTAAGTCTCCCAGAACGGCGCCCTCCTCGTCGCGGAGCTCCATGATACGAATTTTCCATGTCTCTTTTGTTTAAGCAAACGGCTGCTGACTCGGCTTAGCTGTCTGAATATGATACACCAATCGACTTTGTCAATGGCTCTGAACAACTTCCTTTCCCAACTCCTGCTCCCCAGGGGCAGGAGCAAGAAGGAGAGCCACTGCCACTACCAGCGCAACAACAGGAGCAAAATGATGACCCAGGTCAAGTACCAGACAATGCAATGGTGACTTCCGCCCAAACGATGGAACATACCAATTCCCATGTGGAATATCGTGACCAGGACGGAAATATCTTGAACGACGAGCAAGTAGCGTTGCTGCAAAAGGAGGGTGACGTCTCGTTTGAAACCAAATACGAAACACGGACGAGAATAATTGATGCGCAGGGCCACGGGGCGAGCGGGGAAGTTCTTAAACCTCAACACCCTGATGCTGAGGGGCAGAATCCTGAAACGTCTAGCAAGGGCGACACTGGCGAGTTGCCGATTAACCGGCCTGCACGCGAACTTAGTGATGAGAAGTTTGTGGAGACGAATGCAGGTACGCCCAAGCCGGCAAGTGAAGGGCATGAGGCTACGAAGAGGGATGATGGAATTTGATGATCATTTTTGTAGTTTGTTTTCTTCTCTTCCCCCCCCCCCCCCCCCCCCTTTCTCTTCGGCCATAATTTCTGTCATTTAGATGGGACATTATCATAAAATGTGTATTCTTTTGTCCTCTTTTTCTTTCGAAACAAGATGTGTGAAACCAAATTTTGACCGTATTCAGAAGGAAGAAATATGTTATAACACTATTCTCCTTTCCTTTGGTTCTTAAATTCTTATATTTTTGTATTTTGATTTAATTTTCTTCTTTCTATTCGATTCAAGGGCCTTGAATATCCGGTATAATGAAAATGAGACAGGACACCGATGACATGGCGGATACAGGATGGTGTGGAGTATAGGGAAGGCACAAAGCCAAAACCTGGGTTGAATAGAATAATTGTTTGAAAAGATATCAATACTTATATACACTGGACACTTCTTCTGTATTCTTTGTCTTAGAAATATACTCAGGAATGCCCTCAACCATCTCCTCTCTCTCTCTTTTAAGTGGTACCAAATACAAATTTAGTTTCGTTTTAACAGCGAAATTGGCAGTTGACGGCGTCTTGTCTCAAAGTTCCTTGCCATACTTGTTGAATCGATCATGGAGATCCTGCAACGAACGATGATAGTTAACCACTTATCCAAAGGGTCATCCCGCAAAGTTAGAGAAAAGGACAAATCTCACCTTAGGCAAGGTCACGTTGGGAATGACAACCTCATTCAGAGCGCTGGGGGCGTTCTTGAGGGGCTTCGAGGTGTCACCGTAGGGGTGATATTGGTATTTGAAATTAGTCTTGGACTCATCATTCTGTTCCCATGGCATAGTGCTTTCGCCAATGCGAATGTTGCTCTCCGAAGTGGAAGTTGTGGGAGAGCTGCCCAGGTACCAGCCAGCAATACCGAAAGCACCGACCATGACAGCTAGGAGGACCTATAGTATACAATATCCCGAAGCCAAGAGGACGAAATGTTAGTCATTACGCCCACCTTAAGAACCCTATGACCACTAATTAGATAAGGGAGAGAGGGGCCACATACGTAGAGCTCGGGGTCTCTCTTCGGGGCCGTGTCAAGACCGGCTTCCTGCACCTTGGATGTGACGCGGCGGATTGGAGTGGAGGTGGCGGGCCGTCTGAGGATTGCCTGTCTCAGCGCTGCCCGGCGAGCGAAGGTTGTCGCGACGTATGACATGTTGGGATGAAATATATTACCCCGATGCCGGACGTATGGAGTCTATAAAAAGTGGGTTTTGTAGGAAAATGGGACGTGGGGAGCGTGCGCAATTGAATGATATTTTCAATGGATTGAATCGAGTCTGTCAATTCGAGCTTTGTTCAAGGGACTTTTGGATCGGACGATGCTTTGGGTCAATCGGCTTAGATAATGGGTTAATGTGGCTGGAATTGAGGCAGATCACATGACATTGTGGCTCATGAACTTTGAACGGTGGACCTGCAATCACGTGAATACACCGCCTGGACGGATTGGGCGATAGGAAGATGTCAAATCGATGTACGACGACGACGACGACAACAACAACAACAACAACAGAGAACAACCGCAGTTAAAGAATGAATAAGGAGTGTGTATACAATAACACCATTCGCTCTCTTTCTGAACATGGCCTTCTCCTCTTGCGTGGTGTGATTTGGCCACTGAGCCCTGTCTTCCTCCGTTCTTTTGTTCCCTATCCCATCTCCGAGTCACGGACGAGGCTTGCTGGCTCATAGAGCCCCTGGCTGGATATTATCCCAGCCTCCTCAAGGATTTCATATTCTCTGGCACTAACTACGATAACAACCTACACCTATTTTACCATTGAATCAATTTAGAACTCTGCTGAAATGGCCAGTCGACCAAATTCTGCCAATTTCAATGCTCCATCCACCCTCCCTAGTAATAATGCTGCCGATCCACCCAGACCCGTTTCTTACATCTCCGCCCATATGACAGATATAGCCTCAGAAGACGGTGATGCTTCACCACCCCATACAGCGATTTCTTCCCAGCCAACATGGTCACAACCACCAAACTCACGTCGCGGTCCTCCGCCCGCCAGAAATTCAATGGCTGCTGCCTCCAACCAGGGCATCAGTCGACCTCAGAGCTCTTCGAGTCGAATAAGTAGAACTCACATCCCCTCGTTGACTGCACATGGGTTTTTCCGTCCCATGAGTTCCCAGAGATTACAAGCACAACGCAGTTGGAGACTCACGAATAACAACCATGTTGCTCCAGCCTCAAATGAAGATGGAATGAGTGATGTGGGCAGCCAGAACCGAAGGAGCTTGCTGTCAAACCATACAGTGCTTCATGGGCCTTCGTCTCACGATAGCGAATTCCCCCCTCCATCGCGAGGCACCGAATTTACGGACCCCGTTATGCCAGATCGTGGGACGTCAAATGCAAGCCCAACAGGGAATACAACGGTGCGAAGTCTTGGTGAGAGCGTGAGGTTACTTCGGGACAGGTCACAGCAAGTCGCACCGTCACACCTCAACTTGGGGAAAAATTATAAACCTGCTAGCTCCCAAGAAACTCCTCAGAAATCACCCTTGTCCTTTCGTTCTGGGTTCTTGTTGCCTGGCAAAAGTGATGGACATGATCGGCGCGACCCGAGGAATCATGAAAGATTGTCCTCAGGCGCGTCCATCCCTGGATCCACACCGATGAAGGCATTCAAGTCTGAGCCAAGAGCAAACTTGGGAAAGAATTATGAGTATTTTGCTGGAAACACTATTTTCTGCGGTGGAGGCAGATTCCAGAATTCTAGGGATAAGCCATTCAATATTGCGACTGGAATTTTGGTGGTTGTTCCTGCTGGTCTATTCTTCGGATTTTCGTAAGTGAGAGCTGGTGCTTTGGGGTTTAGGATAGCTGCTAACTGTGAATCCAGGGCTCCATGGCTATGGCGCAATGCTTCACCCGCAATACCTATTCTTTTCGGCTACGTTTTCTACATTTGCTTTTCGTCGTTTATTCATGCTTCAGCTGTTGATCCAGGGGTAAGGGTTCACCATTTCTCGGCTCCAATCAATCGTTAATCTGACATATCCAAACTAACATATAATGTTCAGATTATTCCACGAAACTTAAACCCTATGCTTCCAGCTGATCCAAGCGAGGATCCGTTGACTCTTGGCCCACCTTCCAATGATTGGGTTATGATCAAGCTCGCAACGTCTGATGTAGCAGCCATGGATGTGCCAGTGAAGTATTGCAGAACTTGCAATATCTGGCGGCCGCCACGCTGTTATCACTGTCGAGTTTGCGACAACTGCGTCGAAACCCTAGATCACCATTGCGTTTGGCTTAATAATTGCGTAGGACGCCGCAACTACCGTTATTTCTTCACCTTCGTCAGCTCCAGCACGATTTTGGCGCTCTTTCTGATGGGAGTCAGTCTGGGACATGTCCTTGGCTACCGCAACAAAGAGGGCATCTCGTTCGGTAAAGCTATCAATGAATGCCGCGTTCCCTTTGTCATGTTTGTATACGGTCTTCTCGCAGCACCCTACCCCGCGTCGCTCTGGGCATATCACTTCTTTCTAATGGGTAGAGGAGAAACTACCAGAGAATACCTAAATTCCCACAAGTTCTCCAAAGGAGATCGACACCGACCATTCACACAGGGTAATGTCCTCCGGAATTGGATTGCGGTGCTTTTGCGACCCCGGACCCCATCCTATGTCCAATTCAAGAAAAGGTACCAGCAAGGAGACCAGCGCCTTTCTGCTGTCAAGCGCAAGCACAAAGCAGCTGACCTGGAGGCCCAGCCTGAAGGAGGAATGGAAATGCACGACGTACACAATGGAACACCCTCGAATAAACCGGCTGATGGTTGAGTTTGAGCTATCAGTTCTCGGATTTAGCCCTTTTTTCTTTCTTCCTCTCTTCATTTGATTTCATTCATTAATTTCTTGGTCCTATTCTCACAAATCCGCGATACACACGTAATGTCACTCACGTTAACCGACCGTTTCCTTTTCTCTCTTCTCTCTTTTTTTTTTTATTATTATTATTTGTCATTGTTCTTTTCCCCCTTTCTGATTCCCCACTTTGCTTGATTGTAATTTTATTGTGTCCTGACTTCTTTCTGTCTTCGGTTCACTGGTCTTAATTTTCGTTGACCAAACCCCCGGCTTCCCAGTGTATTATTACCTTCCCTTGCTTTTTCAATTGGGGTTTTTTCTGAAGTTCGATATGAGCGAGATGTTTAATGGCGTTTACATAAGAGTTGAAAAGTCGGTCATCATACCCGTCTGGCTTGATCTAAGCCTGCTCTTTGCTTAACTTAGAATTCCGGGGTTTGTTCTCTGTACTTTGATTCCAACTGCGGACGTTTACAAGGTTCAGGTTCGGATACTTCTTTCTTTATTCCATCCCCTTTCAAATTCTGATTTGGAGTGCTTGGTTTTCTTCTTTCGGAGCTCAAATACCTCCTGGGACCTACATCAAGAATTTGTCAATCAATATTGATAGAGCTGCTTTTGCGATTTTCGAATTGTTATGTATAGCAAGAACATCTCTAGACCAACAGCTATCCGTCCTAAGTATTTCAAACATCTGCCTATAATTTTATGAAAGAATGAAACACAATAGCTCTTTTGAAAGCGAAAAGACGAAAAAACAACACCAGCCGGTATAAACGCACAGAGTAAAGGGCAGACGGGATATTGTCGGGAATCGTAATATATGCATACATGGACCCCCTCACCAACCACATGAAACTTCCGCATCTCCTATATTTAGTCAACAACCAACATCCGAACAACTTTCTTTACTCCACTTCGTTCCATTCCTCATGCTAACAACCAATGCGCTTCAACTCTTTAACTTCTACGCGTAAACTCAGTTTATTTACATTCAGAAGTCTCCTTTTAGCGCCGCAATCCCAACACTGATACTTTCGAACTCCCCAGCCCCAAACGCGCCAACACAGTTCTCCAAAACACAACCCGCGCCCCAAAAATACTCCTCCTATCCTTCTTTCCTGACGCTATTCCAACTGCAAATTCCCAAGAAAAGGGGGAAATAAAACAATGGCGCGTTCTTCGCAGTCATCCGCAGTAGCCCCGTCTTCCTCTTCCACTCCCTCCTCAAGGCCAGGGTCTGATACCGGCCTAACCACAGAGATTTCCGCGGATGAACACCTGCTGACGCCCCCGACGAGCCAGTCGGAAACATCCAGCAGGAGCGGCGGTGCAATGGATGTGGAAGAAAAAGATGGTGAGGAGGTTGTCAGTGAAGAGACAATTTCTCAACGCGTCACGCGTTCGTCATTAGCGAATGAGGAAAATAATATGGTCAGTGAGGAGATGGCGTCTAAAGTAGATGATGCTAAGGAAGTTGCATTTCATCCCTTGCGTTCGAATCCACCGGAAGTGGATGGAGGGTTACCTACATCCGAGGGAGCAAGGGCAAATATTGAGATGGAGCATCAATTGGACAAAAATGAAGAGGGGAAAAATGCAAGGGGAGCCAAGAAGAGACATAAGAGTGAGAGTGGGTCACGGAGACGCTCGTCGCGTTTGGCTCTATTGGGGAAAATTAGTGAAGTGGTTAGCAAGGTTTCAACGGTGCTGGGGAAGAGGGCCAGGGAGGATGTGATGAAGGAAAAAGATAAACTGGAGATTATTAATCGGAGGGCTAGTTTGCGATCGAGGAATGTTGCGCAGGAAGAGCGGGTTCCTTCAACTACCTCTACGGCTGTTGCTACTGCTGATGGTCCTGTTACGAAGAAGCGGCGGGTTTCTAAAGGGGATGCAGTGGTCTTGAACAAGAAGGCATCAGCTGCTTCAACTACTGTAAAAGAACAGAAGCTGGCAACTGTTACCTATAAGAGAAAGAAATGGCTTTCCCATGGTCTGTATGCGGGGCAGGACCGGTACTTCGATCCCAGGCTTACGGAGGAGAAGAATCGGATTAAGTTTGGGAAGAAGAATGAGGAGGAGCGAAATAAATTGTTTCCGTTGCCTATGTTTGCGGGTGAAAGGTTGATTAAAGACGGGAGAGATTTCAAGCTGCCATTTGATATCTTCTCTCCGCTGCCGCCGGGTCAGCCGAAACCTGATGAGTGGCGGAAGACGAATAAGAGTACGGACTAACTCTGCCTCCGTTTCTCTCCATTTTTACTTTACAAGACCAGTTGCTGACTGAGTGATAGATGTATTTGTCGGAGACGCAGCTAGTATATGGAAGGCTAACAAGCTTGGAGAGTGCTCTACGTGCATGTGCACCCCCGAGAGCGGATGTGATGAGAACTGCCAGAATCGTTGCATGTTTTACGAATGCGATGATGATAATTGTAAGCTTGGGGCAGAGCTGTGTCGCAATCGCAGCTTTGAAGATTTACGCCAGCGCATCAAGGCGGGTGGTAAGTATAACATTGGTGTTGAAGTCATCAAGACGGCGGATCGTGGATATGGGGTACGCAGCAATAGGACCTTTGCGCCTAATCAGATCATTGTCGAGTATACGGGGGAGATTATTACACAGAAGGAGTGCGAGAGGAGGATGAGGACTGTGTATAAGAATAATGAGGTTTGTGCTGTCTTGTGTCTTCTCATCTCGGGACGAGATGTCAAAAGGGGATGTGTAAAAAGCTAACTTTTTGGGTTTTGTCAGTGCTATTATCTTATGTATTTTGATCAGAACATGATAATTGATGCGACTCGAGGCTCCATTGCCCGATTCGTTAATCATTCCTGTGAACCCAATTGTGAAATGGAGAAATGGACTGTTGCCGGAAAGCCACGCATGGCCCTTTTTGCAGGCAAGAATGGGATTACGACCGGGGAAGAATTGACTTATGACTACAATTTCGAGTAAGCATCTGCCCATTCAATAATCCCACTGTGCTAGTTTACTAATGGAGAAAACCTTTACCAGCCCATATTCCCAAAAGAATGTCCAGGAATGTCGCTGCGGAGCAGAAACATGTCGTGGTGTTTTGGGTCCCAAATCCAAAGACTCGAACAAGTCCCGCAGCGTAAAGCAAGGAAATACGAAGCAATCCTCCAAAGATGCAAAGAAGAAAGCTGTGTCATCGAAGTCTGGTCAAGCTTTAATAGGGAAGAAACGGAAACAAGAGACCGCTCTAGATGAATCGTCTACTTCGCGCCTGAACAAACGAAGGAGGGTTCTCAAACAGACATCGAAAGCTTTTAATGCTGGAATCAAGAAAGCTGTAGCTGGCGCTCGCTTAGCAGCTAATTCAAGCACAAAAGCGAAGGTGAGGGGGAAAGCGAAAGCCAAAGCCAAAATCAATGCTGCCACAGCCGTGAAAGCCAAACCGGCTCCAGTTAAGAAAACCAAGGACAATTCACGATCAAAAACTACGACAAAAAGCACAAATGCACGTTGGGGGGGCCGGAAATCCAAGATTCAAGCTGAGACAGGAACTTCTGTCCGGAAGCAGAGAGATCGCACGAAACTCAACCGACCGTCGAAGAAGCTCAATTCTATTGCTGTCTCACGAACCACAAGCAGGACTCCAGCGATCATGAGGCGGTTCCTTGAAGCCGGAAAACTAGCCACGGAATATGAAATAGACGGGACTTTAACTGTTGATAAGCCAGGCTCTAAACGAGTCGTGGCGAAGAGAAGATATACCAATAACAACGCCAGCAAACAGTCTAAGATTAAAGGAACTGTGACGGGTGTCGCTGGGAAAGTGAAACGGGGTAGGTCTTCTGTTTGAATTGAATTGATAGATGTCGTGCGTGGCGAACCTCTGACATGTTCCTTGTATCTCTTCATTTTGCCATTGCCTATGTCCGTGCTGTTTGAGTTTTGTTTTCTTTCCAGGTTCATTGCTTTCTTCTCTTCAGGCGCGGGGATATCGAATATTGCATCCTGGGTTGAGCGTTTTGTTTAATCCCCGGTTTCTAAATTCCCGGTTTCCTAACTCTGTGGTTCAAATTTACCAGGTGATGCCTTCATTTCAATGACTTTATGAAAGGCAAAGCCGTTACTTTTTGGTATTTTCATTGGCTTTGGTATACACTTCCATCGTGCAGAGGTGGCATATTTCCGGTTGTCTATTATTCCTTGGAAGCATTGGACGCACGGCGGGTTTCCCCTTACAAATGTCGTGAATGCCTCCGGAGCAGCAGGCTTCGAGCTTGTCGTGTCACATTGATTTGGATATCCCTACCTCCCGGTGAATCTGTAGGGTTCATTTTGTGCCAATGTTATGGGCAAGAAAATGTCCTTTGGTAAACAACTAAATCTGATGAAATAACTATGAGATAAGTATTTTTGGAACGATTGGTAAAATTGAACAGTGTATTATTTTGAATATATTTGACAGATCCATCCTATTCGCCGGCAACGACCAATTAAATAACTACGCATGGTCCATTCTAAAAGCCACCCCTGCGCGAGGCTCTGTTCCACCATCCGGTGCTCGAGTCCCGGAATCATACGCTTGTCGGTAGACTGACCCACGGTTTGAACCTTGTGGAGAATCGCGGAGAGACTTATTATATATTCCTCTATCTAAGGGCCATCCCGCCTGGCTTGTTTTTCATTTTATTTCTGCGCTGAATTCCGCTCAAAAGAATGCATGTGATAGCTACCAATGCATTGCGTTGTTGCAGGATACGTGTAGTTATCTGCCTCGCGGATTGAATCAAAATTCAACAGAATCAAAATGAAATGGAGAAAACCGTTGACCCACGACCTCTTCTTAAATCTGTATCGGAAGGCGGATGTCCTGATGATTACCGTGACGAGAGTGTCCAAGCAGAACAAACCCCCGGGTCTGCAAAGAAAAGAAAGAGAGCTGTCCTGACAACGTACGCGAGTTGAATTTTTTTTTTTTTTTTTTTTGACTTTAAATCTTTGATGCCTCGGCGCTTAACTATTTAAGAAGCTAACCACACGATAACCCCCATTCTGTTGTTTATCCAGTAGCTGTGAGCTATGCCGCCAACGGAAAGTTAGATGCGACCGCGGTGAACCCAGTTGCGGCTGGTGCACCCGTAATGGCCGCGAGTGCGTCTACAGAGACAAAATGCCACCCACGTTTCGGGTCTTGCACATCCGTGAGCTCGAGTTGAAGGTCAATACGCTAGAAGCCATGTTAGATATGCTGGGACGTCGGCTGGAGCTCCACATATCCGAGCATGAAACTGCATGGGGCTCTCGACAACCTCCTCCCCCAGATCAGGTGGTAGCAGATCAGCAAGGATTTGCCACTGCCTCCGAGCCCCGTCGCTCAGATCTCAGTGAGACCTTGTCACAGGACCCGACGGCCAGTATAGTTGAAGCAGCGTCGGAGAGAGTGCAGCGTTCTCGTCCTTCGGCATTGATTTCAGTTCAGCCTTTGGTTAATGTGAATGCAATGGAGGGTGCAAGCGAGCCCGCGTCTTCTGATATGATAGAATCAAGCTTGGAAGGAGTACGTGAGACTATGTCTGAGCTGCATTTGCCCTCGCGGGATACTCTATATGTGATTGTAGACCTGTTCTTCAAACATGTTAATCCTTGGTGTCCCATTCTTGAGCGGGCAGCAACGGTTGAGAAAGTTTTTAGAGCTCCCGTATGCGATGAAGCCGACCTTGTCCTCCTGTATGCAATTGTCCGTGTAACCTTGAAGTTCTACAAGAACCCGGGTTTAACACATAGTTGGCGCGAGACATTCCCTGCTATCTCGAAACAGAAGATTTTGCTCTATGCGTTCGAACACACAAGTATCAGCGCACTTCAAGCTCTGACGATTCTGGCGCTGGACTTGCTTGGCATGTCATATGGTCCTCAGAGCTGTACTCTATTGAGCATGATAGTAAGAAATGTGATGCAGCTCGGGCTTGGGGTGGAAACTACAGTAGCTCTTGGGCAGCCAAGTCATGAATCACCGGGCACGTTGCACCAATTTATGCTGCCTCCATCAACCCCATGGGTTGAGAATGAAGGACGCAGACGTCTGTTTTGGATGACCTTCATCTTGGATCGATATGCTTGTGTCGATATGGGATCCGACTTTATCCTCGATATACAGCAGACAGACCGGCAGTTGCCGTGCAGGTATGACTTATTTTCAAAAAACCAGCCGGTTGAAACCAGACGGTTTATTGGCCCCGAGAGACCTGAAATTACCATAAACCGACCGGAGAACCTTGGTAGCTTCTCCTACCACTGCGAAGTCCTACGGATCCTCAACCGTATCCACAAATTCCTGCGCACTCCCATTGATATTGGCTGCTCTGTTTGATGTGGATAATTGGCAAGCTACGTTTCGCGATCTGGACCGAGAGCTTGACAGGTGGCTGTACAATCTACCGGATGACTACGGCCGCATTTCTCAACTTTGCCATTCAAGTCCAACCAGCAGGATATCTAACTGGATCATGCTGCACGCAGCTTTTATAACTTGTGTTTTACGGCTGCACACTTGCGCTGCCTATCCTACAATTCGCTCACAGATATTCTTTCCCTCGTTTGCTGCGATGCAGAGGTGCCTTGCCGCAGTCGAGAGTTTACGAGAAATTGTGCAGGATGTTGTTAATACCGGCATGCTGGATCTCCTGGGTCCTCATTTTGCCCTCTCACTTTGGGTGTCGGCGAGAGTATTGGTGGTAGATGCCTCTGTTTCAAATACCGACGTTAATTCAATAGTTTGGTTTTTCATCTCCACCCTTGATAAAATGGGACAGCATTGGGGAATGGCTAAGAAATATGCCAAAGTACTAGAGAATATTTTAGAAGAAGCCCAAGAAGCGAAACGTGTCGCGGCTATGATCCAAGATACAGCTAGCAGCTCTCAATCGCCTCCGTTATCGGCGCCGAAATCCCTTGCGGAAATGCGAGTGTATGCCTCCTCTTCCCTTGATAAGAGAGTTCAACTAATCCATCTTCATAGAAGCGCCTACGAACTAAGCATTATCTTATTTCAACGCTATTCATCAGGAGTTCATCCGCCATCCGTCAAAACCGTCACACCCAGCGAACTTGAATACTATGAAGTCTTTGACTTTTTCAATTACCCCCGCCCACCCGTGCCGGTCGCACACCAGGCATCCTCGCTTACCACCAACACCGGCTTAGAGCCACCAGCAAGTAACGGTGCCGAGGGCTGGACGCGAGTGAAAACCCACATTGTGTCTACAACTTTCACATACCTTCGTTCGGATTCCGAATTTCAGTCGCCGCGGGGCTAACAAGGAGAAATGAAGCCTAGAAGTTCTGCTGTGTTGATCATGTACTGTACATGTATGCATGTATGCATGTATGTATGTAGAAATAGAAATACAACGTGTATTATAGTATGAAAGTTTTGAATTATCAAAGGACAGTAATATGAAGTAGTATATATCCGACTACTGACGTAATAGTTTTCGAGGGTTACACGCTTTGTGTAATGAAGAAAGATGACAGTTATGGTATCTTGAGCTCTCCGCATCCATAGATGTATATACATGCACTAGCAGAAGTGGCGGCGGAAGGCTTTTCACCCAGTGGGGGGAACTCAAATCCAGCAGAAAACCTCCCGGAAATGCTTTCAATTAGCCCAACCTTTGCACATTTGGACAGCCTTCTCCCATTTCGCAAATCGATTTGCAGCCTGTTCCTTGGGAATGGCCGGCGTGAAAACAGTCCGGCCTTCGGTATTCACGGCAGCTAATTCTTCAAGGCCGCGCCAGATGCCAATCGCCAGACCTGCTGCAATTGCAGCACCGAGAGCGGTGGTTTCTCGCATTACGGGCCGGTGGACGGGAATGGAAATGATGTCCGATTGGGTCTATTGAGCAGATCACACGACGTGTTCATGTTATCTTCTGTCATTTGTTTGGACTCTGTATTTTGGTGAGACTCACCTGCATAGTCAAGTCACTATTACACATGCCCCCGTCAACAGCTAACTCTGTCAATTTTTGGCCGCTATCCTTCTCCATGGCGTCAAGGATAGCCTTCGTCTGGAAACATGTTGCCTCGAGCGTCGCGCGGGCCACATGTCCCCGCTGTGTGTAGGTAGTGATTCCAAACATCGTACCGCGTGCGTCATCCATCCAGTACGGGGCGAACAAACCGCTGAAAGCAGTTACAAACACAAGACCTCCGCTATCTTCGACTGTCTCTGCCAGAGCACTGATGTCACTGGATTTGTCGATGAAGCCGAAGTTGTTCACCAAGAATTTCACGCTGGATCCGCCAACGGCAATGCTCCCTTCGAGCGCATACATCACTTTCCCATTGAAGTCATAGGCGACAGTTGTTAATAGGCCGTGTTTGGATATTACGGGGGTTTCACCTATGTTGTATAGCAAGAAGCATCCTGTGCCATATGTGTTTTTCGCGAGGCCTGGAGTGAAGCCCTTTTGGCCAACAAGTGCGGCAGACTGGTCACCCAGACAGCCTGTAATAGGGAGCCCCTTCAGGGCAGTGGATGCCAGAGAGCCGTATCCTTCTGGGTCTGACGAGTGGATTATCTTGGGAAGATGAACTTTATCCCGGTCGAGACGGAAGAATTCGATGAGCTGGTCGTCATACTGGAGGGTTCTGATGTTCATAAACATTGTGCGTGACGCATTTGAAGGATCAGTGACATAGATCTCCCTCTCTGTCCCGCCATTGAGCCTGTAGACGAGCCAGGTGTCAATGGTCCCAAAGGCCAGCACGCCCTTTTCATAGGCTTCTTTGACCTTGCGAACATTCTCCATCATCCAGAGTAGCTTGCCAACAGATGGATATGTCGATAATGGAAGACCGCAAAGCTCCTGCAGCTCGTTCGCCCCGAGGCGACTCTTCAGCCTGCGAACCAGCGCCTGGGTGCGCGTGTCCGTCCATACAATCGCGTTGTAGAGCGGTTCCCCGGTCTTTCTATCCCACACCACGGTGGTCTCTCGCTGATTCGTAATGCCAATTGCTTTTATAGATTCGATGCTATGGCCCTGACTTTCGAAAGAAGCAACGGCACCGTCTATGCATTTCTCGACCGACTCAACTATTTCCAGCGGGTCGTGTTCGTGCCAGCTGTGAAACCGATTATCACTATTTTGTTTCTTCCAGACAGAAGAGCTATGGCAATAACGAATTTTTTTTTTCTTTCTTTCTTTCTTTCTTTCTTTCTTTTTTTTTTTTCTTTTCTTTTCTTTTCTTTCTTGATAAGTATGCTCACCCAGGCTGAGAATATATCTGTCGGAACTCGAGTTGATGCGACGCAACGACATCCCCCGCAGCGCTAAATATGAGGAATCTCGAGCTTGTCGTTCCCTGGTCGATAGAACCCACGAATGATTCATTGGCGCACCCCATAGTGACTGCTGGTGAGTTTTGCGCCAAGTAGGGAGTGGCAATTCTTCACGATGTTTGGTTTGCGATGCGTCCCACCCGGCGTAGGATTTCTGTCTATAGCGGAGACCGAGACCGACGAACAGCGGCTATTTGTACTCCCTGATCGGACCGTCTGGAAAATATAATTTGTTCCAGGGCAGCTCAAGCGGGAGCATCTCCTCACTACGCCATCTGCTAGTTTTGCGGGGTTGGGTTCCGGGGGAAAAAGTTAGTAGTTCGTTGACCCCGTCGACAAGTAAAGCGTAAGTCCGCTGGTTGGGGGGGGGGGCAGTTGGTTAATTTCCACTCGGTAACAATAACTTAAATCGCAAACTCAAATAATGAAGATTTCTCAATCCAACCCCCTCCTCAGTTACCACGTTCATGTTTTGCTGTCACACAGCGTCGCATTGATGGATGCCAATAACTACGTGCTACAGCTGACAATCTGCAATTTCAATACCGCATTCGGCCAGGCTGCTTCAGCTCTCATCCCCGTCCTCATATCGTTGCAATGGCTGGAGGCCAAAATGCGAGTCTGGCCAATCAGCATGCTGTGTGGGTGAAATGCTGACGAGAAAACAATACAATACATCTTGCAACCTCGGGTACCCGCTACTTGAATGAACCTGCGGACGTCGCCGTTCGCCGTTAGGTCTCCTCCAAGGCGGCGATCGACCGACTGATACCAACCTTGTCCCGGTAGGCGGGAGAGCGTTGGGCTTATTGACCCTGCTAGACTATCCGTCGCATCCAATTCTTAAGCAATATTGGAGAAGATAGTATTCTAGATTTTTTTTATTTTATGTACCGCTATCTATAAAGTACGTACTCCACCACATGAGGGGGGGGGGGGGGGGGGGGGGGGGGGGGGGGCGAGCGGGGGCGGATAGACTGACAACACCCACCAGGCTCGATCGATGGGTATCCCCTCATCCATCCCTTCTGATCCCCAAACCTAATCGACAGTTGAATCCAATCAAGGTGCCACAATGATACTGGAGACCCCAAGGCAACTCTCAGGACCTGGCATTGTTGATAAGAGCCAGGATACCGGAGAAATTCGAAATGGGTCTGATGTGCATGGTAAATCCACGCTGGATACAGAAGCTCAGGATCTGACAGCCCCCCAAACGGAGAAGCCTTTGTGGTGTCGAATCCGGCATAAACTGCGTGAGCCTTTTTCCGAGTTCGTTGGTGTTTTTATCATCGTTCTTTTTGGAGATGGATCTGTGGCTCAGGTCATTCTCAGTCATGGACAGAAGGGTGGTTATCAGTCGATCAGTTGGGGCTGGGGGTGAGTGACTGCACCCATCCTCCGATTCGTAACTGCTTTATAACTGCACAAGTAGATAAAAGAAAGGGGAACGAATACAGCGATGGCGGTTATTGACTCAAAATGGTAGGCTTGGTGTGATGCTCGGGGTCTACTGCTCTGGCATTTCAGGGGCTCATCTGAACCCAGCAGTCACACTCGCAAACTGCATCTTTCGCGGATTCCCTTGGAGAAAGTTCCCCATATATGCAATCGCACAGATACTTGGCGGATTCGTCGCCTCTGGAGTCGTCTATAGCAACTACATACATGCCATCGACGCTTTCGAAGGAGGAGTCGGTGTTCGCACAGTAGGCCTTGATACCTCTTCTGCGGGCATCTTCTGCACATACCCAGCCGAATTCATGAACAAAACAGGCCAGGTTTTCTCGGAAATCCTTGCCAGCGCAATGCTCATGTTCTGCATCTTCGCTCTGCTTGACAATGACAATAATGGCGCCGGCAACCTGACACCGTTGGGCCTGTTCTTTGTGATCTTTGGCATTGGAGCTTGTTTCGGTTGGGAAACCGGATACGCGATCAATCTTGCGCGAGATTTTGGGCCACGGCTGATGTCTTACTTCTTGGGGTATGGGCATGAAGTGTGGTCTGCTGGGAACTATTACTTTTGGGTACGCCTCCATTTTATACCACTCCGATGGGGTCTATTACTGCTCTTCTCAATTCCCTTGTATTTAGTCACAATCTCTAACCTTCTAACCTCTCCTCTCACTCCCTAGGTCCCAATGGTAGCACCATTTATCGGGTGTACGTTGGGTGGATTTTTATACGACCTGCTCCTGTACACAGGCCCAAGCCCAGTCAATACTCCGTGGATGGGACTGGATCGTCTGCTAAGACCCACGCCGATGGTATCGTCAAATACTGAAACGGATACTTATGTTTAGCGATTGGGAGTGGCTGTGAGCCATTATTATGTAGGTTTTTATTTCGTTTCTAAGTGGGGAGCTGAGCGTGTGAGTCTGTGTTGCAAGCAAAATAACAAAAA